AAGGTCCCTAACAAGCTCTGTCTTTTGCCTCTGAGACTATTGTTCCTGTTATCTCCCGGTTTTTTTTTTTTTTTCCTTTTAAAATTTTCGACCACTTCAGGTTTTCCACTTCTTTATGTTTTTCCCCTGTAAGTGTAGGTGGATCTGTAAAGTAACCTGTATTCCATTGTGGGTGGATCTGTAAAGTAACCTGTATTCCAGTGTGGGTGTATCTGTAAAGTAACATATAGTCCAGTGTGTTTGGATCTGTAAAGTAACATATAGTCCAGTGTGTTTGGATCTGTAAAGTAACATATAGTCCAGTGTGTTTGGATCTGTAAAGTAACATATAGTCCAGTGTGTTTGGATCTGTAAAGTAACCTGTAGTCCATTGTGGATGGATCTGTAAAGTAACCTGTAGTCCATTGTGGATGGATCTGTAAAGTAACCTGTAGTCCATTGTGGATGGATCTGTAAAGTAACCTGTAGTCCATTGTGGATGGATCTGTAAAGTAACCTGTAGTCCATTGTGGATGGATCTGTAAAGTAACATATAGTCCATTGTGGATGGTTCTGTAAAGTAACCTGTAGTCCCTTGTGGATGGATCTGTAAAGTAACCAGTATTCCAGTGTAAAAGGGCTTGTAAAGCAACCCATATTTCAGTGTAAGTTTCTCTGTAAAGTAACTGATAGTTCAGTGTGGGTGCGTCTGTAGAGTAACCAGTAGTTTAGTGTGGGTTGGTCTGTAAAGTAACAAATAGTCTAATGCGGAAATTGGTGTGGGGAATGGGGGGGGGGGTGTTAAAGTAACCCCAAGTCCAGTGTGGGTGAGTTTGTAAAGTAGCCTGTAGTCGATTGTAGGTGGGTTTTTAAAGTAACATGTAGTCTTGTGTGGGTGGGTCTTAAAATAGCATGTAGCTGAGAGTGGGAAAGTCTGTAAAATCACATGCAGTTCTGTGTTGCTTTGCAATGCTGTTCTCCTGAAATACAATCTCAATGTCTGCAATTTGGCATCTGGTAAAAATTCTTTTTTTTAGTTTTATCAGCTGCTGTTTTCTTATGTCCCCTGGCTCCACGACCTTCTGAGAAAAACTTCCTTATTTTGGGCTAGGTCTGTCCGAGAATCTATCTCAGGACGAGCACCATACTGTCTTGTCAGGGAGTATTGAAATCAACTATTATCTTTGCAATTTTCAGGTTGATTGGGCCATTACAAAATTCAGAAGACTTTGCCAAAGCCTACAACTGCCCACGTGGCTCTTACATGAACCCTGACAAGAAATGCAGCATGTGGTAGTTCAAGAATACTGACATAAATAGTTTACTTTGTCAATATGTTCTTGTCTTTCTTTGTGTGTGATTTTAGTTAGTTAGTCAGTTAGTTAGTCTTTCCTCTTGTGTCGAGTGCGGCACATAGGGCAGAGGTCATGACTGTGATTTTGACTGTTGCTATTTACACGATGACGTAGTAATTAGTCGACTTAATGCTACTAAAGTTGTCTTGGTTCTAAAGCAACGAAGAGTTTGTGGTAAAGGAAGAATTCTGAAATAAAACTTTCATTCAGTACACATGTTCTTGTCGCTCTTTTTATATAACTTTACTTGTTGTTCGTTGCATTGTGCCAATAAATGGCTATGATAAACACATTGTGTTTTCATTGGCACTCATAGTTGTAGAATCAGAAAGTAGAGAACAGTATAAGCGACTTTAAAGACTAGTTGTCATAAAAATCAAAGGCAATGGAGAAATCATTTATAACAGTGATGCCCAAACTGTGCACTGCGGTGCCCAGGGGAGCCACAACCTCTTCACGGGGGCGCCGGAAATATTCGAAGATTCACAAGTTTAATTGTTTTTAAAATATCTATTACATACGAATATTTATACTTTTACTTGGGTAACAAAGGAGCCGCGACCAGGAAAAGTTTGGAAAACACTGATCTTAGTGCTATAGTGAAAGGTATAGTGAATTTATATAGTGATAGGCTATAGTGGAATTCTATAGTGAAAGGCTATAATGAAAAGCTGCAGTGGAAGGCTATAGTCAAAGGTTATTGTGGATGACTATATAGTGAAAGACTGCAGGGAAAGGTTGTAGTCAAAGGCAATAGCAAAAGACTATAGTCAAAGGCTGCAGCGAAAGGATATAGCCAAAGGGTGTAGTGAAAGGATATAGCCAAAGACTGCATCGAAAGGATATAGCCAAATGGTGTAGTGAAAGACTATAGTAAAAGGCTGTAATGAAAGACTATAGTCAAAAGCTATAGTAAAAGAGACTAAGGAGAGAAAAAATTGCTTTTTTGAAAGAAGGATGCAGTGACAGGCTGTAGTGAACGGCTTTAGTAAACAGTGGTATGCTCCTGCGGCCATACACCATCGTCTTCTGGGGGCTACAGTTTTGATCCTTTCTGTGGCCGGTCGCGACAGTATTTGGGTCTGTCACCTTTGATGTCATCAACACTGCATGCGTTTTTTTCCCCCCAGAGCTTTTCGTAGCGTGCAGTGCAAAGTAATTGTATTTGGCACACATATCCTAGTCATAATTATAACCTACAACTTCCAGTTCAGAGATGCTGGTTGAACGTGAGGACTCGTTTCGAGCAAAACAAAGGAACGAACGAACTGGCATGTCAAACTGAAGGTCCCCCGAGAACTACACGGGTCACATCGGTGTTGCCGTGTTGGTTACACGCGGCAACTAAATTAAGTCACTGAATAAAAGTTATTGCGTTCCTGCTGGCCGCTTGTTTCACATGCCTGATGTACAGTGTATTGTTGCGCAAGTTATAAATCCCTCAGCAGTTATAAATCTAAAAGAATAGCCTAACGGCAATATTTTGAGTTTAAAATCTACCCAGAATATTTCAGGATACTCTTCAGTGCTACGAAGTTCGTGCACAGCAGTGAGATTCTTTGGTCTCAGGCTTTAGTTAGAAGTAGAACGGAGCACCTTGTGCAATGATGTTGATCCGTCGTTCAAACCATAAACAATGATTTTGTATTGACTCGAAGACGCCCCGACGTGCTTCACGGGTTTTAGCCCGAGAGCAAGCTATCCAGTCCGGGATTGGCTATTCTCAGCCAGTTTAGTCAGGTTAGTGTTGATAATATCTACTCTGTTCATACATCCTTCAGCATGAATGTCATGCAGTACTTGCCAGTTGGATTGCTCGTTCATCAGAAGCTGTAATATAGACAGAATTCGTTCTCCTCGCCGCACAAACATCATAATCAATCAGGTGCCGCCTACACAATAAAGGGCGACTGTATTAGATCTCAAAAACGGACATTAAACAATATCTGCGATTTTAATCACTCACGCTACATTGAGAAAAAAATTAGTTAGTTGCGTATTCTTTACAGGACGTTGCAGAACCAACCCCAGCATTCTATGGCTTTTGTGCTTTTTCTAGGCAAATTTTACTTTCCTTAGTTTGCTGAGACAAACTGTCTGCAGCAGCTGGGATTGAACTCGGTAAACCATCATTACGAAGCGCGTTCGCAACGGCCAGGGCACACATTGAGAAAGGTTCGAACAATTTATCTAAATTTTTTATTTCTGTCTGTTCTCTCTCTCTCTCTCTCTCTCTCTCTCTCTCTCTCTCTCTCTCTCTCTCTCTCTCTCTCTCTCTCTCTCTCGTTTTCTTTTTCTTCTTTCCGCCCCAGCTCTCTCTCACTCTCTCTTGTATCTTATTTTCAGCCAGTTTTTACTAGCTGTACTTGAGGCCGCTACAGCCTCCTTGGACCGCCCTAGCCATTCCCCTTCTACCCCCGCCACCCACGGTAGCCCCGACTTCAGGAAACATTGCTATGCAAAGATACGAAGTCATACCATTTGCCGTATATGTTTTAACTTGCTGCGCATGACACTGATATTATGACATCTGTGCAGTACCGCACGAGCCATATCTTGTCTTACTATACAAAGTTATACATGACCCCTACTACTGACCATCATCTGACAAGCCAAATATACTATAACTGCTACCCCCCGCCCCAACCCCCTCCTCCCTCACCCCTCCCCTAAATGAAATATCATACCCTTATGCCTTGACCGATATCACTGACCACTGCTGACCATTTAAAGCCATTTAACAAGTTAATTTTTTTCAAAACCTATATGCGTCAAATGACCGTGTTTTTCTCTATGAAGCCTATAAATGCACTTTCTGTATTACTTCTGTACAGGGCAATATATAGACTATTCCCTACGTCCTTTTTAGGACGTAATTTTTTGTTATTTGAAGCCCCACTCTGGCTTTTGCCAGGGGCCGCAATATAGGCAGACCATCAATATGGTCAATTGTCTGAACGCGGTTTCTGGGACCTCTCCACGGTGATTCTCATCCGCATGGTGGCACTTTGTGTCATCGGGTGTTTGTCGCTTGTGTGATGTCCTAGTGGGGTAGTAAGTCAGTCAGTCAGACAGACAGGGCAATAAATCAAACTAAGAGATTACTGTAAAATTATTTGAATTATCTCCCTTCAGAGTGAATAGTGCATCTAACAGCAGATGCATTCCAGACTTCCAGAGTGGTAAACTTGCTTGGCATATAACTGACAAACAAAAAGGCATGGCTCTGTTTGCTTATTTCCTCTAGCAGAGTGACCAAAACGACATAATAAAGCGCCAAGTTGCCAGAACACATCTCTGAGTTATTTGTTATGCCCACGACATGGAGCAAAAAGATTGTGTGCGTGTGGGTGAGTGAAATAAAGGCTGTCTTAACGAAGGCAAAAGGCAATGCCGTGTCCAGTTGGTACCGCTGTGGAGATATTTCTCACCTGTCTGATAGAGTGTTGGAGGAACTGGTGAGTATCTACAACAGCAGTGTTGAAGGTGCGATAATAAATGAAGAGTGGCTGCATAGTTATCTGATACCTTTGCCGAAGCCTGGTGATGACGACACAACAATACAGGGATACGTTATCACAACGCAGAATACAATTGGAAAGCGGTTAAAAAAGATAGTTGCCAAGAAAATATCATGCCATCTTGAGCAGTTAGGCCTCCTTCCACCCACCATGGAAGGATATCGCCCAAACAGAGAGTTCCAGGGGAATACAGCCACCTTTGCATTTGGTGTTTATTAGGGATTCCACTCGGGGATGGGAACTTGAACTACTGCAGTTGATATTGAGGATGCGTACAACAGAGTATCATTTGACTTCTTGATTGGTCTGTTCTTTATCCCAGTCTCAACCAGTTCCTCATTAATCGGATCTTTTCGGCTCTCTTCAAGCGGGAGGTGGTGTTTAAATGTGGTAGTTGGGCATCTGAACTATTAATTATACACCCCTGTCTCCCGCAAGGTTGATCTTTATCCCCATCACTTTTCAACAACTTCACCATGAGAATCACAGGCGAGCAGATCATGGGACCGGGAAGGACATTGTCGAATGCTGACGATGTTTTGGTGTACCGTCAAGGTACAGACCAGAAGCAGGCCGCTGAGGGTCTTCAGACAGAACATAACCGCGTAAGAATGTAGTGCGATGAAGCAGGAGCGGTCGTCAGTGTGTCAAAGTAACGCTGACGTGGTTTTCACTAAATAACCATATTATTATCATATCAACACCATCTGTAATTATGTGTTTGGAGATTATGGAGAGAACTCGTTCATTGAGGTATTTAGGAGTGTGTTTTGATTGGATTGGCTTTTTACCCCACCAGGACATCACACAAGCGATAAACACCCGATGACACAAAGTGCCACCATGCGGATGAGGATCACCGTGGAGAGGTCCCAGAAACCGCGTTCAGACATTTGGCCATAATGATGACCTGCCTATATTGCGGCCCCTGGCAAAAGCCAGAGTGGGGCTTCAAATAAAAAAAAAAAAAAAAAATAAAAAAAAAATTACGTCCTAAGAAGGACGTAAGTCAGTAGTGTGTTTTGATCGCAGTCTTGCTTTTTATGAGCCTGTCAACCACGTGATAACAAAGGCAAGGACAGATTTGACGGCGCTGATTGTTATGGCTGCCGCACACTGTCAGGAACATCACCTATTTTTCTTATACCAGGGTATGATACTTTCTGTTACCGAGTACGCTCTGGAGATTCTGATTCCTTGCTGTACAAATATGAAGAGACTAGACTAGATAAAGACCGATGCCATGCGGGTCTTACTTTGATGCACAAAAAAATACAGCATGCAGTGCGATGCGTTAAGTCCTTATTAAGACGTGGCTGCGTTGTGAACTGGATTCAGAAAATGGCGAGTGACCCATTGCCAGAGAACCGTTTCACCCCCCCCCCCCCCCCCCCCCCCCCGTTTGCAATTAACTGCCTAAG